TGAATAACATATATTTCTCGCACCATCGCGTTTCGTAACAAAATTGTATACACTTAAAGAAGTCGAGGATAATAAGAGTAAATAAGGGCAAAAACAAAAAAATAATCAACGTCTTCGGAAAGTCTTGTTTTCGAACACGGCACCATTATTTGATGTGAATAACATATATTTCTTGCACCATCGCGTTTCGAAGGAAAATCGTATACATATAAAAAAGTCGAGGAAAATAAGAGTAAATAGGAGCAAAAACGAATAAATAATCGTCTCCGGAAAGGCTTCTTTTCGAACACGCTACCATTATTTGATGTGAATAACATATATTTCTCGCACCATCGCGTTTCGTAACAAAATTGTATACATTTAAATAAGTTAAGGATAATAAGAGTAAATAGGGACAGTGTTTACAATAGTTAGTTGAATGAGTATGCTAATTACTTTAGTCCCTTTCTAGGATTTTTCTCTCTCTAGAGTTTTTAGTTCCAGTCTTTGGATTTTCGCCGCTTTCTTCTCCCTCCTCCCGTCGATCTCTTGGTTTGGGTCTCTGCTTCTGTGTTTGTTTTCTGTTTTTCCTTGTTTTGTGGTTGCTCTCTTTCGTTTGGCTTCTTTTGTTCCCTTGGAGGATTAGGTTGGTGGCATCTGTGCGCTCTTGGCTAGGGTTGTGAGTTTCCCCTTTGCTTTGGTCTGTCCTTCTGTTCATGATTTCGGCATATGGGTTTAATTATTATTATAACTCTGGTAACTTATCTCTTGCTATGTATTGAGTGTCTTTGGAGTTGGTTGGTATGAAGCTTAATTGATTTTTGCTCTATCTGTGGTTATTGTGGTAGGCTGTTGTGTCCTGCTTTGGTTTTTTGATTGCTTCTTGTTTTTTCTTCCCTATTTGTTATGGATCAAGATATTGCGGATAAATTGCTTAAATTTAACCTGTCTGATAAAGAATCGATAAGAGTTGAATTACCTATAGAAGTTATAGCCTCTGGTTTATCGGATTGTCAGAATAATTTAGTTGGCCAACTATTTGGGGAGAAAAAAGCTAATTTTAATGGTCTGAGGGCTACCCTGGGAGGAATAAGGTTAACCACAGAACCATTGATGGGGACCATGCGAAGCTCTCCATACAAAGTAAAGAAGATCCGTTGGAAATAAACGGGGAACCGATCACGAGGGCAAGGGCTAAGAAAATAAAGGAAGCTTTGAGTGTTCTTTTGCTGAATTTCAAAAGGAGTCGAACCAAATCCCGATAGAAGGCAAATTGATGAATATTCTCCAAGTTGATGGGCCAGATTGTTCGCATAAAGATTGATCAATGGATTGAAGACTAAATTTCATCCATGTCATGAAGCCCAATTGGAGAGTCTATTATTTTATCTATTTTTAGCATTTGTGAGACCAAAATGTCTCTTAAGTTGTCTTAGAAGTCAAAGGGTCATTCAAACTTCATGTTAGCTTATTTATGAGGTCAAAGTTGTGTCTTTATTTTGTCTTGAGTCCCAAAAATGGGATTAACTTATCAGCCCTTTTGTAGCTTTTAAAAAGGTCATTTTATGTTTTAAGAAGAGATAAGAATTTTTGCTAAATATTAAAATCACTTTTTGTGAGTTTGATTTCTCTTTTGTAGAGGTTCAAGTGTTTTAACAACTTATCAAGATACTTGAGCAAGATCTTGTGGCGTTCACCATACCGAGGTTCTTAGCTGATTATATAGCTAACGGGTCGAGGTTTTCAAGCTCTAGGTACGATCAAACTAGATCTTCGATCTGGGATTCCGCTGCCTATTTTATATGTTTGGTTCTTGGATCAATATATCCAACGGGTCTCATGTCATATCCGTATCAGTTTGGTATCAGAGAAATCTGGTATTGATCTGATTTCTATCTTCTTTTATCTATCTTGTATTTAAAAAAAAAAAAACGTAAAAAAAAAGTCCCTTGTATTTTTATACAAGAATTGCAAAAAAAAAAAAAGAGAAAACTGTTAGTTAAAAAAAAAATTGTTTGTACAAAAAAAAAAAAAAATCAGTCCTTATATTGTTCAACGAAATTGATCTTGATAGGTTTATTTTGGTTGAACCTACGGAAGAGAATTCAGAGTGGTAAAAGGCAAGAGTGTGTGAGCTCATTAGAGGGGAGGTAAAAGCCTACGAGTGAAACACGAGTGTTGTGAGGGTTATTTTGAGTGATACACGAGTGACTTGTGAGATTTGAATAATGGAGGATAATTCAACCAATGCGGGAAATGAATTTACCATTCAAGCTATGCAGCAACATTTTGCAAGGCTTGGAGGTGTTCTCGAAGGCATTACCGAACGTTTGGAGAGGTTGGAACAACAAGATCATAGAAGACACGATAATAATCAATTCTATCAACCTGATTCTGACGAGGAGGAGTTTCATGAGCCTCCACACCGTGGCAATAGAGGAGGAAGGAGAAGGCGAGATAATGAAGTAGATCGTGACTTGGGAAGCATAAAACTGAATATTCCCACATTCAAAGGAAGAAGTGATCCGGAGGCATATTTGGAGTGGGAAAAGAAGACAGATCTCATTTTTGAGTGTCATAACTACTCCGAGGAAAAAAAAGTGAAGCTTGCTGCGATTGAGTTCACTGACTATGCTATTGTTTTGTGGGATCAATTAACCACTAACCGAAGGTGATATGGTGAGAGGCCTATCTCTACTTGGGCTGAAATGAAGTCCATCATGCGTAAAAGATTCGTCCCTTCACATTACTTTCGTGACTTGTATCGAAAACTCCAAACTATGTCACAAGGAACGAAAACGGTGGATGAATATTTCAAAGAGATGGAGATCGCTATGATAAGAGCGAATGTTGATGAAGATCGGGAGGCCACTATGGCAAGATTCTTGAGTGGGTTGAATCGGGACATTGCGAACATTGTGGAGTTGCAGCACCACATAGAACTCGAGGATAAGGTGCATACAACCATGAAAGTGGAAAGACAACTAAGGACGAAGGTATCTTTTCAACGAAGTTTTTCGTCGAACCTTTACCCATCGAGCAAGGCAAAAGAAGGAAGTCCGAAGATAAATTTTGGGGCAGCTTCTAAAACCCAAAATGAGACTTCTAATACTAAGGGTCATATGGTTGATAAAGGCAAGGCTGTCGCGTCATCATCTCGAAGCCCTGATATCAAATGTTTCCGTTGTCAAGGCTTTGGCCATATTGCTTCTGAATGCATTAACAAGAGATTCATGATCTTGAGGGAAAATGGTGTAGTAGAATCTGAAAGTGAGCATGAATCCAGCGATGACGAGCAAGCCGAGGAGACCACACCTGAAAATGGAGGAAGCTGAACAACAAAGGGAGAACATCTTTCATATGAGATGTTTAGTTCTTGGAAAGGTTTGCATGCTGATTGTTGATGGAGGGAGTTGTGCTAATGTCGCTAGTTGTGAAATGGTGGAGAAGCTGAATTTACCAACCACAAAGCATACCAATCCATACAAGCTGCAGTGGCTTAATGATTGTGGAGAAATTCGAGTGACGAAACAAGTGTTGATGTCATTTTCAATCGGCAACTACAAGGATGAGGTCCTATGTGATGTAGTGCCAATGCATGCTAGCCATATCCTTTTGGGTAGACCATGGAAATTTGAAAGAAGAGTGACTTATGATGGTTTTCTTAACCGTTACAGTTTGAAGCATGAAAATCGGAGCATTCAACTTGTTTCTTTGAATCCACAACAAGTGCAAGAAGATCAGTTCAAAATGTCTTAATCAAGAAAATTGAGAGAAAGTGAGAAAAAGAAAGAAAAGAATGAGGAAAAAAAATTGAGAGAAAAAAAGATTGGAGGGAAAAACCAAGAAGATATATGTGAGAATGAGGGAAAAGAACTAAGTGTGGATGAGGGAAAAAAAGGCTGAATTTTTATGCAAAGCCAGTGAGATGAAGAGGGCAATATTTGAAAGGAAAATTGTGTTAGTGATGGTGATCAAGGGGTCGTTTTTGAACACTAACGAGCTAACCCCATCTTTGCCTAGTGCTTTTGTGTCTCTTTTGCAGGAATATGAAGACGTGTTCCCCGAAGAAGAGCCAAGTGGATTACCGCCTATAAGGGGAATCGAACATCAGATTGAGTTCAATCCGGGAGCTACACTTCCAAACCGTCCAGCATATAGGGCAAATCCAGAAGAGACGAAGGAAATTCAGAGGCAAGTGGAAGAGTTGATGGCGAAAGGGAAGATACGAGAAAGCATGAGTCCATGTGCTGCACCCGTAATCGTGGTACCGAAGAAAGATGGATCTTAGAGAATGTGTACAGATTGTCGAGCCATCAATAAAATCACGGTGAAGTATCGCTATCCTATTCCTAGGTTAGATGATATGCTTGATAAATTGTATGGTGCTGTCATCTTCACTAAAATTGATTTGAAAAGTGGTTATCATCAAATTAGAATTCGTGAAGGAGATGAATGGAGAGCTGCTTTTAAGACAAAATATGGTTTATATGAGTGGTTAGTCATGACTTTTGGTTTAACTAATGCACCAAGCACTTTCATGAGATTAATAAACCATGTTTTGCGTGACTTTATAGGGAAATTTGTTGTGGTTTATTTTGATGACATCCTCATCTATAGCAAAAGCAAAGAACAACATCTTGATCATGTTCGTGCTGTTTTGGACACTTTAAGAACTGAATCATTGTATGCTAATCTTAAAAAGTGTTCTTTTTGCATGCATAAAGTTGTTTTTCTTGGATTTGTTGTAAGTGGTGATGGAATAGAAATGGAAAAGGATAAGGTCAAAGCTATTTTGTATTGGCCTGTTCCTAAGAGCATTGCTGAAGTAAGAAGTTTTCATGGTCTTGCTAGCTTCTATAGGAGGTTTGTGAAAGATTTTAGCACCATTGCTGCACCATTAAACGAAATTGTGAAAAAGGAAGTTGGTTTTCGATGGGGAGAAAAACAACAACTTGCTTTTGATCTCTTAAAAGAAAAATTAACTTATGCATCTATTCTTGCTTTGCCTAACTTTGATAAATCTTTTGAGCTTGAATGTGATGCTTCTGGAGTAGGTGTAGGTGCTGTTTTGTTGCAGGAAGGAAAACCCATTGCATATTTCAGCGAGAAGTTGAAAGGAGCTCAATTGAACTACCCGACGTATGATAAGGAGTTGTATTCCTTGGTGAGAGCATTGGAAACTTGGCAGCATTACTTGTGGTCGAAAGAGTTTGTGATTCATACAGATCACGAGTCTCTCAGGTACTTGAAGGGCCAAGGTAAGTTGAGCAAGAGGCATATCAAATGGGTGGAATTTATTGAATCATTTCCTTATGTGATCAAATACAAAAGAGGCAAGGAAAACATTGTAGCTGATGCCTTATCGCGAAGGTATGCTTTAATCACTACTTTGAGTTCTAAGCTTCTTGGATTTGAGTCGATAAAGGATAGATATGCCACTGATTCTGATTTTGGGTCGATTTACTTAGCTTGTGAACATGCTGCATTTGGTAAGTTTTACAAGCATGATGGTTACTTGTTTCGTGAGAATAAACTTTGTATTCCTAAATGTTCTATTCGAGAATTTCTGGTTACGGAGGCACATGGGGGAGGATTAATGGGACATTTCAGTGTACATAAAACATTGGAAGTATTGCGTGATCATTTGTTTTGGCCTAGTATGCGTGTTGATGTGGGGAGAATATGTGAGAGGTGCATAACTTGCAAATGTGCTAAACTTAGCTTGTGAACATGCTGCATTTGGTAAGTTTTACAAGCATGATGGTTACTTGTTTCGTGAGAATAAACTTTGTATTCTTAAATGTTCTATTCGAGAATTGCTGGTTACGGAGGCACATGGGGGAGGATTAATGGGACATTTCGGTGTACATAAAACATTGGAAGTATTGCGTGATAATTTCTTTTGGCCTGGTATGCGTGTTGATGTGAAGAGAATATGTGAGAGGTGCATAACTTGCAAATGTGCTAAATCAAAATCAAAACCTCATGGTTTGTATCAGCCTTTACCTATTCCTAATGAACCATGGGTGGATATTTCTATGGACTTTGTTTTGGGTTTACCTAGAACTAGTAGAGGTAGAGATTGTATTTTTGTGGTTGTTGACAGATTTTCTAAAATGGCTCATTTCATTCCATGTCATAAAAGTGATGATGCTACGCATATTGCTGATTTGTTCTTTCGCGAAGTTGTACGTTTGCATGGGGTTCCAAAAACCATTGTGAGTGATCGAGATGCAAAATTTTTGAGTCATTTCTGGCGTGTGTTGTGGAGTAAATTGGGAACTAAACTTCTATTTTCTACGACTTGTCACCCCCAAACCGATGGGCAAACTGAAGTAGTAAATAGAACTTTATCTCAATTGCTTAGAGCTTTGATTAAAAAGAACTTAAAAAGTTGGGAAGATTGTTTGCGATTTGCTGAATTTGCATATAATAGGAGTGTTCATTCTGCTACTAATTTTAGTCCTTTTGAAGTTGTTTACGGCTTTAATCCTTTAAGTCCTCTTGATCTTGTGCCTATTCCTGTTGATGAACAAGCGAACTTGGATGGAAAAGCCAAGGGTGAAATGATCAAGAAGTTACATGAGAAGGTGAAGCTGAACATTGAGAAGAAAACCGAGCAATATGCAAAACAAGCCAATAAAGGGCGAAAGCGAGTTACCTTTGAACCCGGAGATTGGGTTTGGCTGCATTTGAGAAAAGAGAGATATCCAGCAAAGCGCAAGTCAAAGTTGCAAGCAAGGGGGGGATGGGCCATTTCAAGTAATTGCACGGATCAACGATAATACCTACAAACTCGATCTTCCAGGTGAGTACAATGTGAGCGCCTCATTTAATGTTTCTGATCTTTCTTCTTTTCATTGTGATTCAGATTCGAGGTCGAATCCTTTTGAAGAGGAAGGGAATGATGGGTACCACGCGAAGCTCTCCGCACAAAGTAAAGAAGATCCATTAGAAATAAACGGGGGACCGATCACGAGGGCAAGGGCTAAGAAAATGAAGGAAGCCTTAAGTGTTCTTATTGCTGAATTTCAAAAGGAGTCGAACCAAATCCCGATAGAAGGCAAATTGATGAATATTCTCAAAGTTGATGGGCCAGATTGTTCGCATAAAGTTTGATCAATGGATTGAAGACTAAATTTCATCCATGTCATGAAGCCCAATTGGAGAGTCTATTATTTTATCAATTTTTAGCATTTGTGAGACCAAATGTCTCTTAAGTTGTCTTAGAAGTCAAAGGGTCATTCAAACTTCATGTTAGCTTATTTATGAGGTCAAAGTTGTGTCTTTATTTTGTCTTGAGTCCCAAAAACGGGTTTAACTCATCAGCCCTTTTGTAGCCTTTAAAAAGGTCATTTTATGTTTTAAGAAGAGATAAGAATTTTTGCTGAATATTAAAATCACTTTTTGTGTGTTTGAATTCTCTTTTGTAGAGTTTCAAGTGTTTTAAGAACTTATCAAGATACTTGAGCAAGATCTTGTGGCGTTCACCATACCGAGGTTCTTAGCTGATTATATAGCTAACGGGTCGATGTTTTCAAGCTCTAGGTACGATCAAACTAGATCTTCGATATGGGATTCCGCTGCCTATTTTATACGTTTGGTTCCTGGATCAATATATCCAACGGGTCTCACGTCATATCCGTATCAACCATTATCTATCAGGAATTTAGGTAATAATAGGTTTCACTTTCTCTTCCAGTCTGCTGAGGATAGGGATAAAATATTAACTGGTAAATCTTGGTCTTTTGACGGGCAATATCTTCTTCTTAAAAAATGGTCCCCTACTGGTAATGAATTCTCTGATACAGATGAGATAGCTAAGATGTGGGTGCAAATCTTTAATTTACCCCTGCACTGGCTATATGCTGAAGTTAGGGTGAAAGTAGGGTCCTTAATTGGTTATGTTCGTGATGTTCAGGCTCCTGACATTGGGAGTATTACTGGACACTTTGTTAAAGTCTTGGTTGATCTTAATCTAAAAGACCCTATTCTTAGAGGTACTCATATTAAGGTGGGTAGTGAAAATAGATGGGTGGATTTCAAATATGAAAATTTGCAAACCTTTTGTTTTTACTGTGTGCATAGGTCATACGGATAGGAATTGCTCATATAAAAAAGATGATCTCAGTAAGAACTGTTTGTCTGTTGGTCAGTTTAGGGACTGGTTGAGAACTTATATTAGTTCCTTTTCAGATTTCAAGTCTTCTCAGTCTATTCCTAGTGTTAGCCCCAACAATCCTGATAATGCTTCCTTACCCCCTGAGAATCCTATTGCTAAGAGTATAATTGGTGAGAAAAGCTCCAACTGTGCTCAAAGTAATCAGATGGTCTCTTCCTCAAAAGAGAAGGGCCTGGAACAGGGTGCAGAGGCCAACAACAAGGAAAATTCCAACATGGTGGATGATCTTGTCCCCGAGAATCTGAATAACAATATTGTTGATTTAGATACTACACCTGAGTCTAAATTGCTGAATGGGAATAGCCTTGTGGAGATTAGTGTCCAACCTCTTTCTGTAAGGGGTAGGTCTGCTCAGAGTAAAAAATCCTCTACTCTTAGAAAGGCTAAGTTGAATAAAAGGCCTCAGGGTGAAAATATGGTTGTTGACCTTTGTGTAGGCACCTCTGATGATAGAGGGAAAGGAGTTCTTAAGAGAGGTAGTGAGGTTTTAGATAGAGAAGGAGTGCAGAATGATGAGAATATTCATGAAGGGAAAAATATTAAA